GGGAGGGTATGCCCAGCATGCCTGGGGATGGATGGGTAGGGTCTATTTGGGGAAAACACTGGTCCATTTCTCATTAGGAAAACTTGTTCTTCCTGGGGGCTATCATGCACATCAACAGGGCTTTATAACTATAATAGCTTGTCACATCCTGGTTAGCATCTTTGTCTTTAAATCCACTTCAGTGTCGGACACTGAGTAGATTTCATATTAAATCTTTCTTACTGTTATGAACCTCAGGATCTGCCCAAAGTCACAAAGAAAATAATAAAAATGTAAATGTCAACTCCATGTGCCAAAGTTGATTCACTAAAAATGTATAAAGAATGGTAATATGTCTTTCTTAGACAAAAGTATACTTACATATATAGTCAGCATTTGCAGTATTGAACATTACCCAGGTTAAAAGACCACAGAACCATTCCAAGTAATAGTGTTTAGAAGAATAATAGCAACTGTTATCACACACTTAAACACTGAAAATAAATGAGATAGACACAATCATTTACATTTTACTGATGACCAGAGTAAGCCACAATTTGCCTAAGATCTTAATGCCACACTATGACCTCAGATTATTCGGTTCTAGACACAGAGCCCTTGTTCACTTCTACAATACAGCTTCTCAGCTTTGTTCATATCACTAGAAGTTTTGAGTATAAAACAGGGAATAAGATAAGTGGGTGGGGATTAAATCGCACCTTTTCTTTTTCTTAGAAATCCCCCATTGGACACTGTCATACTCTCTAAAATTCCAACATGATGCATTTTCCATGTGTACTTGAGTAGATTGTCATTTCGTTGAGCCCAGCTGAAGTAGTTTATACTAAAGATGTTATATGATAAATAATTACCTTTAAATTGTAAAGTCGGCATAGTAAGGTGCTCACACTAGGAAAGGCACTGAGACCTGCAGCTGAGAGACTTCCTTTCCTGTTCTCACTGTGCCCAGAACTGCCATCTCTTACCTAAGCCTCTCATTCTCTTTCCCCATTTCCTGTTCTTCCTTCTGATTTCCCATTTCAGATTTTTTAAGTCAGCATAATGCACACTTGTTATAATTACACCAGATGTGTGTCTTCTTCTGTATAGTCTTTGTCTTTACAATCAGTGGAAATTGATTTGGTCTACCATTCTAGCGATCAGGGGGTTAAATCTGATGGGAGTCTTCTTGCAGTCACACCATTGCAGAAGGGATCAAATGCCAAGAGAGAAGGGCAGATCACAGTGAGTGGGAGAGCACAAGAATGAGCGCCAGCAGGCAATGGAGGGAATGCTTTCATGAGATAGGGCTAGACTAGTCCCTTCATAAGAAACCCACACTCAACAATAGTGAGCCCACCCTACAGTAATAGCCTGCATCCACCTCGTACTAATGGCCTAATTGTGGCTCCAACGGGCTCACATCCTAGCACACTTGGACTGGGGATTAAGTTTCCAACGTGTGCTTTTTGGGGAACACATTCAAAGCATAGAGATCAATGGAGTCAAGATTGGTATAGTGGATAGATTCAGTGGTCATGGTCAGTATGAGTTTTAAGTGTCAAGTGAGAGCAGTGACTGGAAGGGAAATTGCCAGGGTTGGAACAGAAGAATATCTGGCAAGATTGCTGAAGAGCAGGGGCAGGGTAGGGCTTCAGACAAAGCCAGCTTCTCACAGATCTTGCCACTTCCATGTTTAATGAACATTTTTAGAAAATTTACCAACCCCCAAAAGGTAGGTTGCCAACAACTGAATTTCAGTTGTATTGACACTTAACATGGGAAAATATGAGATTCTTCTACAAGATGAAAAAGGAAAAATGAACTGTACTGGGATTGAAGCCAAGAGTCAATGAGCTGCCTTGTAAACCCAGGGTGGGTCCCGAAGGAATGCAGAGCATCCCGTTCTGACAGGAATGTTTCATTTCCACTGAAAAGTCGATGGGGAAGCATTCACACATGTCTTAAAGGAAGAAGGAGACCAGCCCTAGAGCTGTTGGTGAGGAGGTGATTATTTTCTAAATGGAACTCTAGATACCTCTTTTGTATCAGTTTCTAACACGCTTAATCTTCACAGTGTGAGTCCTTTTAAGGAAGTGTATAATACCAGCCTTGTGAATCGGAGTCTCTTGTTTATTCTTCGTGCTAATTTCATCTTTCCCTGTTTTTGTTTTGTCTGTGAGAGTCCCCTATCTTACACAGGAGGTTTGCTGTTTCAGTGATGTGTCCTCACGGCTGACGTCACTTCACTGCAGCAGACTCCAGCTAAGCTACTGTATTGTAAAAGCATGTTTAAGCATTTCTATAATTATCAAAGGAAAATGGAAGAAGTGAGATTCTGCAGCCAGTAACCTCTTTCAAGACAATGAAAACCTTAGATATTGACTGTAGAACAGTTCAGATTATAAAAGCGAGTATTGGCTTTACTATAGTAAACCTCAAGTCACTTTTTTTCCCTCATCTACTTTTGACATTTTAAATTTGTACTTCCAAAAGAAAAAAAAAGCAAATAAGCTGCTTGCTTGCCAGTCAGGTTTCCTCTTTTGTTTCTCAAACATTGCAAAGGAAATAGAAAACCAGTATCTTAATGAGGTGAGGCCTGAAAATAAGGGTAATTATACTCAGCATTACATTTCTGCCCAAAATAACTAGCACATGGTTAAGCATTTTCTCACATACTTTGCATTTCTTATTTCTTCATAGTCCTGTAAAACTCCAGGTAGAAAAGTGACATGTGTTTCAGATGGCCCTTTGTCAGTATATCACTTTAGATATTCCCAGAGACAGGTTTTTAGAATATCACTAATAATGTGACTCTATAGGAATGCAGAACAATTATAATCCTATAAAATCCTCTAAAATGGATTTTGGCCAAAGTATAAAGTAGAATGTGTAGTTGCCATCTGTGATATACTTATCAATACATATTTAAAAGTTAGCCTTCTGTAAATTACTAGCCAATATAAAACTGAAGTGTGCCTTCACACTAGTCAAAAGCTAAGCTTAAAGTAGACTGTACTTAGGGGAACATGGCCTTTTCCATAGTACTGATGGATGTTGTCACTGAATTCCTGTGTATGCATGGAAATGCTGTCGCTGGTGAAGGTGTCTCAAGATGCATTTACTCTGTTTCAGGGAAGCAGTGCATGTGCCTGGTGGATATGGACCGTGCGACCTCAGCAGAAGAACATGGCTACTCTGTTCAAGTGATATCTATGGAGCCAGAGAGCTGCTCTCCCAAAAACAACATGATTGTGGGCGTCCCCATTTAGAATGAAGCACTCACTCTTACGTTTTGCCACTGGTTTCCTGATGAAAGCCCAGGGCATGCAAGGAGTTCTTGGTGTGCTACTGGAAGCGGCGTTGAGCATCTCGAGCCTGTCCGAAGTTACAGGGACTCTTGGAAGAGGGACACTTACTGTGTATGCAGAAGGATGACTGGCCTCCTAGAGGGAATCCCCTGAAGCCTCAGCTGCCAAAAGAATTAGTCTCACTAGCCAGGTTTCCAAAGGCAGAACAAGTTCCTCACACATCTGCCTGATTGTATCAGTGGGATAGTCAATACAAGTTATGACCTCGAGGCCTTCATTTTATAATCTTCAGATATTTACACATCATGATCAAAACTAAACTCAAAGGCGGTTGTGCCTTTTATAGTTTTAAAAAACAATGTACCTTTTCTATAGTTTATTTTTTTTAAGCCTAGAATGGTAAATGTAGTGTGACTTTTTTTAAATCTGAGGTTGGCTGAAATTGTGTATCATGGAGTATACTCCTTTCAAGTATATGTCCCATAAATTATCAAATGAGATTATTGCTGGTTTAAACATTTCATGTGAAAATTTGTAAGTCAACTGCACTAAAACACACTTATAAAAGTAAAGTTTAGATATAAATTTTCACTAAATAGTAAATATATTCATTATTTAATTCAAGCATATAATTAACAAATACTGAGATCTATGGTTTTCAAGACCCTGGCCTGGGTTTTTCTGAAAATACAAGAATGAATTACATGCGGTCCATTGCTTTGCCTATCAAAGGAGATCTGCTAGATCTAGAAGAGCCAAGTTCTGTGTGTCATACCACAACATGTGGCTTTATATGTGGGTATGGTGTGCAGACTCTGAAAACTCATTTGAATGGTGCTGTCTGCCTCCATGCTCTTTGCAGCAGCCAGCTTTTTAATGACAGACACAGACAGCCCTCGCCTGTGCTGCTCCTAACTTTATGACCAGAGTATTTGAGTTAGTTGTTTATTTATCTTGATATTTTCATATCTGAAGCAGAAGACCTTAAGGACTTTATTTGGCTGTTACTGTGCTTTTAAATACAGGAATAATTTATAAGACAATAAGGACAGAAAGGAAACTTTGCAGTTTTATGAGATATATTTAAGATGAGAAATAATTATCAGGCCTAAGTGCTTTATACATTGGCACCTGTAACTATAGCTTACTCCACTTCTTTTTTAAATTGAGATATAATTTGCATACTATATAATACATAGATTTTTATTGTTATTTTATTTAATTGAAAAAACTTTCATATAATATATTCTGATCATGGTTCCCCTCCCTGACTACTCCCAGATCCTTCCCACCACATCCACCCAACTCCACCCCTTTCCCTCTCTTTCTTTAGAAAACAGACAAACAAAAAGTTAGAATAAACAAAAAGAAACAGAGAGAAGCAAAAACACAAAAATATTGGAAACTATAATATACAAGCAGAAGGCCAATAAGGCAAAAAAAAAGCTTAGTTAAAAATAGAGGACATAAATTTAAAGGAGAGCAGAGGGGGGTATATAGAAGGGTTTGGAGGAAGGAAAGGAGAATTGTAATCAACTTATAATCCCCCAAAAATTGTAAAAACAAAAATGCCCAAACAAAGCAACATGAGACAAAAAGTCTACAAAAATCTGATTGAGTTTGATTTGTGTTGTCCTTCTACTGCTGGGTGTGGGGCCTGTCTGAGTTAGGATTTCTATTGCTATGAAGAGACACCGCGACCACAGCAACTCTTATAAAGGAAACATTTAATTAGGGCTGGCTTACAGTTTCAGAGATTTAGTCCATTACCAGCATGGCAGGAAGCATGGGGGCAGACATAGTGCTAGAGAGGAGCTGAGAGTTCTACATCTTGATCCACAGACAAAAGTTGAGTACTCCACAAGGCCTGGACTGAGCTAGCTCTGAGACCTCAAAGCCCGCCCCCACAGTAACGTACTTCCTCCAACAAGGCCACGCCTCCTAATAGTGCCACTCCCTACGGGCCAAGCATTCAAATGTGTGTCTGGGCGGGTCATTCCTATTCAAGCCACCAAAGGGCCTACCCTTAAGTGTGGTTAATATTTCTCAGTGTTTTTCCACTGGAGAAAACAAATGGGTGTCAACTGCAGATAGCTTCTTCATTAGGGGTGGGAGCCTGTGTCCACTCCCCAATTTTGAGAGCCTCATCTGGCTTGAAACTGTGCATGCTGCTACTCTTTGAGGGCATCTGTGCATCAGTCCTGTTGTGTCTGGAAGACATTGTTCTGTTGAAGTTACCCATCCTCTCTGGCTCTTAGAACCTTTCCACTCCCTCTTCCCATAGCTCCCTGTGCCCTGAGAGAAGGAGTTTGATGATGACTTCCGATTAAAAACTGTGTGTTCCAGAATCTCAGTCTCTGCACATTGTCCAGTTGTGGGGCTCTGTGTTAGTTCCCATCCATTGCAATCAGAAGCTTCATCAGTTCCCATCCATTGCAATCAGAAGCTTCTTTGATGATGGCTGAGCAAAGACTGCTCTGTGGGTATAGTAGAGTGTCATTAGGATCATTTTATCACAATGCTCAGTTAGCAGCACAATAGTATTTGGTTTTCCCCTAGGCCTGTGGTCTATCCAGTCCAAGGTTCATAGCCACCCAACCAGTGTCAGGTAATGGAATTTTCCTGAGTCCCTGCCCTGAGAAGATTCTTCCCAGAGTCCTGGGGAAGACAACCGGTGGGGGAAGGAGGGTAATCTGAGGGAAAACAATCTGGGTACACCAAAGTTCTTTTGTCCATTACTTTATTTCTCTAAGACAAAATTCTGTCTATACAGTTCTGACTCTCAGTTCCTCTCTGCACCTACTTTTTCTGTCCCCTCGTAGCCCTAGTAATAACTAACTAAGGCCTTACGCTTTCGATCTCAACTTCGTCTCCTGTTCCTTCATCCTCCATCTTTCCTTCCTCTTCTCTTCTCCTGATCTGATTCACCGACAATCTACAAGAAACTTTTCCTTGTTCCTCACTCCTCATCCTGAGCCATTCTGCCTTAACATCTACAGAAACTCTCCTTGTTCTTTCTTTCCTGGCCACACGACTCTCTGCCGGCATCTGGAATTCCTTACTGCACCTGGTTATTCAAAAAGCCCTGCTGTCCTCAGTCAATCTCTCTGCAATGCTTCTAGGCCTGAAGGCAAGGGATGGTCTGAGTTTCATTTGCACAAGAAGCAAAGCTATTCATCCACAGCCCTGCCTGTCTCCTAGGCTCTGCTAGTGGATCAGTGTGAGAAGCTTATACTGTTTGCCAATATGGTCTAGTAGTATATGGGCTCACAAGAATTTCATAGCAGAAGACAGCTGACATATTAAAAAATGAGTAACACTAAATATTCCTTGATAAATGGCTTCCTCTAGAAAAATGCCTTGAAATTTCTAAGTATAGCTTTAATGTATAGCTGAATCTCTATAATATATTCTTGCAGCCCACAAGTGTCATTTTGTGTAGTAGGCCTTAAATCCAATCAGAGAGTAGTTGGTTCTTCCCATAACGTTTGTGCTGCTATTACACCAGCATATCTGCAGGCAGGTCACCACTGTAGACTGCAGATCTGTAGATTTGTATCTGGACTGGTGCTTAGCTTTCTCCTCTGATGGTGAACAGAGTACCTTCCAGTATCATGAACACTAACTAGTCAGCAGGATGGTGAAGGCTCAAGGTAGGCACCAGCTCGATGTAGCACGAATCTTAAATGGTCTTATTAATAAAAACAAACCCAGGGCCAGGTACTGGGGTGAATGCTGAAAGATCAGAGGAACAGAACAAGCCACAGGTAACCTCACCTCACCAGCTTCTCAGCCGATCCTGTTTCCTCAAACTGGAAGCCTTGAGTCCTCATCTGAATGGATCTCAGCTGAACTGCTGCTAAAAGCCTAAAAGCTTAACCAGCCTCTAGTTCCTGGTTTTCACGCTTTATATACCTTTCTGCTTTCTGAGTCACCATACCTAGCTGTTTCCAGTGTGGCTTTGAACTCACAGAGATCGGGATGGATCTCTGCTTCCAGAAAGCTAGGATTAAAAGTGTGTGTGCCACCATTTTCTGGCCTCTATGTCTATCTAGTGGCTGTTCTGTTCTCTGACCCCAGATAAGTTTATTAAGGTGCACAATATATTGGGGAACACAATATCACCACAGCTCGACCTCTCCATGTGTCATGTCAAGTCATTGTCTGTAGACATAGGTGTATTTGGTAGAGTATATCATTTCAGCACCATTTGCTTTGTTCTGTTTTTAGATAGAATCACATGTAGCTTTGGCTGGCCTCAAGTTTGCTGTATGGTTGGAGATGACCTTGAGCTTCTAATCCTCATATCTCCACTTCCCAAGTGTTGGGACTACAGGTGTGTGCAGCCATATTCAATTAAGATGGAGCTGAGTACGGAACCCAAGGGTTTGTGCATACTAAGTAAACGTTCCGCCAACTCGGCATACTCCAGCCCTTCAACACCACTTTTGAAAACCCTTTCCTCATTGAGTTGACACTGTGCCTTTTCTGGAAAGCAGTGCTTGTGGATGTTTGGAGTCTAATTCTGAATCCACTAATCTGATAGTTATTTTGTTTAATTGTCAAAACTTTATAGAAAAATCTGAAAATCAGGTGGGTTTTTTTTTTTCACAATTTTTCATTGCTTTGGCTGCTTTAGAACTATTGTATTTCTACAAAAACCTCAGAATTAACTTTTCAATTTCTTTTTAAACCTTCTAAAAAGAACCATTGGGAGATTCAGTACTGATCTTACAAGATCATTTGTGGACACTGAACATCTTAATATTGGCTCTATAAACGTGAACATAAGGCAAGGGTTTCCATATTTTTAGGTCTCCTTTAATTACTTGGTAAAATTTTCTCATTTCTACTGTAGAGGAATTTATATTTATTTGTGGATTTGATGCTGTTAGCCTTGAGCTGTTCTCACTACCCAAAGTAATCTTCTTTTACCCTTCCACTAGTGTAAACCCATGCTTATTTTCTGAAGGAAGTCTTTTCCACCTTTTCTGGAGCTGAGGAACCTGCTACAGAATTCCTACCATCCAAGGAATCTCTTCAGTCCTCAGGTGACTCCAGGCACCCATTCCCTTCCTAGATCGAAAGCTCGTATAGTAATTATAGAGGGAAAAACAAAAAAAAATAAAGGAAGGAAGGGGCCCCACGGAGCTCCCACACTTGTTCACAGCGTGACATTCACCCGGGATGGTTGTGGGTGGTCATAGATATTGGTGCTGTGATCGCTCTTTTAAAAGAATTTTTGTCATAATGAAAAGAATGGCCAAGACTCTTTCTCATCCAGGACAAATAAAAGGCGCTGGGAGCAAGAGGAAGATGGTTGCAATGACAATAATCTCAGCAAGTGACCTGATCTCACCCCAAAGCTGCTCCCCCTCCGTCTGTGTCTACCAACAGAGCTAGCTTGTCTTTCATTGACTTCAGGGGCCAACACAGAGAAGCAAGTTGGCTGCAGCTGTAATAGCTAGGCTACTTCATCTTATCTGGAAGACACGTTTCAGTCATACAGGAAATCAAAATATTTTCAGAACCCACAGGCAAAATAATAAAGTGATAAATATTTAGTCTCATGGTTCAAGAAAATTGCAACGAACAGAACTTTCCAATAGAGCTACGTTCCTGAGAAGTAGTTAGGACAAAGAAGGTGTGATACAGGGGCTGGAGAAACAGCTTATCTTTTAAAAGCATGTACTGTTCTTGAAGAACTTAGTTTGGGTCCCTGTATCAACACTGGGCAGCTCAAAAATGCTCCTAACTCCAGCTCCGGGGAATACAGTGCCCTCCTCTGGCCTCTGAGAGCACCTGCACTCGTGCATATAACACAAAAATCACTAAGAATAGAACAAGCTGTGCCATATTCTTCACATTTCCAGGGTTTCTCTGCAATATGAAATGAGGGCAATTTCAAAAGTCCCATGGTCTTTAAAATTCAAATACTTTTAAAAGTTCAGTCTCTTTCAAAGTTCAAGCCTCTAAAATATCCAGCCTTTCTAAAACTCCCTTTAAAGGTTCAGAATCAACTGTGGGTGCCTATAAAATCAAAATAAGCAGAATACTTCCTTACTCCACAAGGGACGAACGAAGGCAAAGTTCAACATAGTGAAAAGTTAAGTTCTTAATGCCTGGAACCCACTCATGATCCTTGCCTGGACAGCTAGTTCCTTTCCTCAGGCTCTGCCACCATGGCACACATCGTTCATCTCCCAGGATCGGTCTGGCTCCACTCCACAGCTGGCTGCTGCTCTTTGGTGGTGGTCCCATGTGCTGGCATCTCCAAAAAGCTGGGGTCTCCACCGCAACAGGGCTGACTCTTCTCACAAGCCCCCCCTGGGCTGTCTGCAGGGACTCTGACCTGGCTAGGTGGTGCCAAGTCTCGACTTCTCTCCATGACTCCTCAATCCCAGGGCTTTTACCACAGCTGTGGCTGTGCCTTCACCAATAGCCTCTTACGATGTTACACCCCAGCTTCTCTCAATGATTCCCTCATGTCTTCAAAACCTGTGAATCTTAAAAATTAGAAAATTAGCCAAGTATTAAAACCTGTTTTTAATATTTATAAAAGGAATGTGTGCGTGTATGCACACGTATGTGGAATGTATGTACATGTTAGTATGGGTGTTTACATGTGTGCATGCAAACACGCATGTTTGTATAGGACATAGGTCTATGATGAGTGTCTTCCTCAATTGCTCTCCACCTTGTTTTTGGAGACAAAGTCTCCCACAAAACTTACAGCCCATTGATTCTACTAGCTGACTGTCAATGAGTTTAAGTGTATAATTGTGATAACTCTGTGACTAGAACCTTAGCTTTACACTGTCTCATTTAGAATCCAGGATTATAGCTACAGTACTTAAATTAGTATCCAGCACATAGTAGGAACTCCATAAATATAAAGTGAGCAATATATTCTAATCCCTTCCCTGGTGGGGAAACATGAAAATATATTTAAGCATTACTTCATGTGTATTTCATGTTTCAGTTTACATTTGGGGGGTTGTTGTCTAATGTCCTTAAAATATATCAATACAGTCCCATTCTAAAGAAGATAAGGGGTGACAGTTACTTTGTTATATCATCTCAATCATTTTTATGACACTGGACAGACACTGGACACTGGACAGACATGTTCCCTGCTTGTAGAGGAAAGACAAAATAAGTTAAAGCCGAAGTGAAGAGAGAAACGTCTCCACAAATGTTCCTTTGGTGTTCGCCATTGTGAACATGTCCTGGTAAAGAGCATGGTTCAAGCCAGTTGCTTATGAGTAGCCAGTGATAAGAGATTCCAAATTACCATCAAGGAAATAAAACATGGGATGTAGAATACACAGAGATGTGTCACAATCTCTCTTCAATGAGAGAAGTCCACTTCTCACATGAGGGATAACCAGGCATCTGGCTGCATCTCAGTAGAGGTTGGGGGCCTCTGCAGAGCCTCGAGGTCCCCAAGACAAGTTTCCTGCTGTGTCTTGAACAGTTAGTTCTGTTATCTGACAATAACAGGTAACTATATTTTAGGAATACCGTACATATTATGCTCAGAACACCTTTATTTTTTTTCTTGATAATGAGAAAAATAAGATAGAACTTCTTGGATATACAAGAAAAAACAACTTAGGGGTAAAAATCTACACAATATGGTTGGCATACATAACTAAGAATTTACTATATATAATAGTGGTGAATTTTGTACATAATCCGGTTTACTGCAGTAAAATTTTTGTAAATGATCATGTATTTATTTCCTTGACTCAAACCTATTATTCATATTACATCTTTCATAAATCACTGAGCAATTTATGTTATGTGTAATGGAACTAAAAACTTGTTCCATTAGATCTGAGACTGGTATCCACTTCATCCAAAGGTCAGTACAGGTGAAATGCAAGGAGTGATAATGACATTCTTTCTGGAGGTTCTTAACTATTTGGAGGCATGTTTGTTGCTGAATTAGGAGCAGCCCATTGCTTTGAGAAAGCATCTATGTGTGGGATGGGTGGGGGCATGAAATGGAGGGAGAGAAGGTTTAGTTTAGTGACACAGCTCCACGTCCCCTTTTGTCTAGCCCTAAGAGAGCGTCATTGGATTATTTCTAGAATTGTGTGACTGGAAATAGCCTGTGTAGCTGTTAAGTACTACATTTCCAACGTATCGTAAACACATGACTGTGGAAGAGCATAATAGCTATGAACCGACTTTCCTTGCTTTAAATTAGAAAGTAGTTCAATGTGTTACTTTTTAACTTGTGTTCCCCATTATTATTGTTAGTATGATGGTAATCAAGTTCCCATTAGAGTGGACAATTTTAATATTAATGTTTACATCTTGTTTCCTAAGTCCAAGTATTTCTAAGGTTCTCTTTCATTCCAAAAACAGTGTCTACCATCTCCTTAGCCACGAATCTTGGATGCATTACTGAACTCATAAGTGAGCTGAACAGAATAATTATTGTCAATTACTCCTGTAATTACTAACACCATTAGTCTTGGTAACTAACAGACAGCAACCTTGCCTTGTTCTTTCTCAAAATAGTCTTTGCTAGTCTTGGCCATTTGCTCTTCTATCCAAAATTAGGACCTGCTTGTCATGCTCCAGAAAAAGGCTTTTTTTTTTTTTTTTTTTTTTTTTTGAGTAGGAGTGACTGGAGAAAGAAATGGCATTTTAGCAGCATTCAGTGTGATTCCTGAACATTCTACATATGAGCAATTTTACAATGAATAGATTGGGAATTTTAGCAATTTTTTAAAATATAAACATTGAAACAATCATCTGGTTTTCTCCTTTTTAGTAGTTCCATGGGGCTAATTTGACAGCAGACTTTCTCCATGTTAAATTGTCCTTGAATTGTTCAAGATAAGTTTGGCCCATTTCTAGTATTTTATTCCTGATTTTATCTTTATTCACAGGCTTGACCGGGCTTTCTGGTATTATCCTAGTCTGTTAATGATGTCTACATCAATGAGGTTGTTCTAGCACCATTTAAGAAAAACATTTGTTTAAGATGGGGATTATCTGTCCCTTTTAAAATTTGTTATTTTATTTCACATGTATGTCTGTGCACCATGTGTGTTCCTGGGTGCCCATCAGATCCCGTGGAACTAGAGTTACAGGCAGTTGTAAGCTGCTATGCGGGTGCTGGGAACTGAACTCATGGTTTCTAGAAAAGCAGCCAGTGCTCTTAACCTCTAAACCATCCCTTGAGACTTGGACTGTCTTTCTTTAATGCCCGATTCACTGACCTGTAAAGCCATCCCAGATATTTAGGCTAGGAGTATAGGAATTAGACTTAAACTGTATTGTTTCCTTGGTAGTTGTTAGTATATTTGGATTTTCCATTTCTTCTGGAATCTCTTTTTAAAGTTGCATTTTTCTTGGGACATTTTCTGGGTTGATTTCTTCATTTCTTTATTTAGATTAGTTATAAATTTTAAAGCTAGGCAGCTAGCTGACTTTGAAAAAAATCTTGTATTTTTATTACACTCTAGGAATTTGTGTTCTAATCTAATAGTCACTGTCTGAATCATATTTTCTAAATTTATTGCCTAATACATTAAATAACCTAAACTTCCTAGAGCCAAGATAAATTAGATCGCTCTTCTTCAGTCTACCTGGGCCTTTCATCCTAATAGATCAGGTTAAACTGACAGTGGGTTTTTTTTAGTTTTTTGGGTTTTTTTTTTTTTTTCTTGTTTTTCAAGACAGAGTTTCTCTGTAGCTTTGGAGCCTATCCTGGACTAGCTATGTAGACCAGGCTGGCCTCGAATTCACAGAGATCCACCTGCCTCTGCCTCCCGAGTGCTGGGATTACAGGCATGCGCCACCACCGCCTGTAGCTAGAGTTTTCCTGCCTGGCCCACAGTCAGGACAAATCTCTCTCACCTGCCAGTCCCACAGCCTTTCAAACCCAACCAAGTAAACACAGAGGCTTATTTTGCTTACAAACTGTATGGCCGTGGCAGGCTTCTTACTAACTGTTCTTACAGCTTAAATTAATCCATTTCTATTAATCTATACCTTGCCACGTGGCTCGTGGCTTACCGGTATCTTCACATGCTGTTTCTCATCGTGGCAGCTGGCAGTGTCTCCCTGACTCAGCCTTCCACTTCCCAGCTTTATTCTCCTCCTTGCCCCGCCTACACTTCCTGCCTAGCCAACGGCCAATCAGTGTTTTATTTATTGACTAATTAGCAACACATTTGCCATACAGAACATCCCACAGCAACCGCCCGCCCAGTGTTTATTCTTTATGAAGGCTTTGCTGGCAGCCATCAGCAAGGTACTGCAAGCTTTTTTCTTTCAGTGACTTTTAAATGTATAAATATTTACCATATAGAATTTCTACACACATTGCTGTAGACCTTGGAGGATTTTGCTGCATATATCAAAAAGAGCACTTTTCAACAACCAATTTTAGAAATATACTGATAATATACAAAAGATGTCAGGTGTGATTTGAATGAGAGTGCCTCCCCATAGGCTCATACCTTTGAATACCTGGTCCTTGGTTGGTGGAACTGTTTGAGAAGGATTAGGTGGTGTGGTGTAGTACGAATCTTAAAAGGTCTTATTAATAAAAACAAACTCAGAGCCAGGTATGGGGTGAACACTGAAAGATCAAAGAGACAGAACCAGCCACAGCTACCTCACCTTGCCATTTCCTCAGCTGATCCTGTTTCCTCAGACTGGAAACCTCTGTGTCCTCATCCGAATGGATCTTAGCTGAACTGTTGCTAAAAGCCTAAAAGCTTAACCAGGCTCTAGTTCCTGGTTTTCACACCTTTATACCTTTCTGCTTTTTGCCATTACTTCCTGGGATTAACGGCATGTGTCACGATGCCTGGCTGTTTCCAGGTTGGCTTTGAATTCACAGAGATCCACACAGATCTCTGCCTCTAGAATGCTAGGATTAAAGGTGTGTGCTACCACTGCCTAACCTTTATATTTAATATTGTGGCTGTTCTGTTCTCTGACCCAAGATAAGTTTATTGGGGTGCACAATATTTTGGGGAACACAAAATCACCACAGTGTGGCCTTGTAGAGATGTGTCACTGGTTTCAAAAGATTCCTGATGCTCTCTTTCTCTCTGCATCATGGCTGTGTCTCATGAGGTGAGTTCTCAGCTATTCCTTCACTCAGTCATCATGGACTCTAACTGTCTGAAATCATAAACCAGAGTAAATGCTTGCTTTTATAAGTTGCCTTTGTCATGGTAGTTTATCACAGCAACAGAAAAGTAACTAATACATCAGGCATGGTAGAACAAACCTTTAATTCCAGCACTTTGGAGGAAGAGTCCGGTGGAATTCTGTGAGTTTGAGGCAAGCCTACACTGTGAATTCCAGGCCAACCAGAGCTACCTAGTGAGACTTTCTCTCAAAAAAGAAATGGTACAGTAGAGTGTTCGAGAATTTGGGTGTACAGAAATTTACACTCAATCCCCTGTGTTTCCTACCTCCCGGTCCTAACTGTAATGTGCTGTAAATGTGTGTTCCCGGTGAGAATCTCCATGGATCTCTCTAGTGATGAGCCAGAGCAATCAAAAGCCTATTGGTTTTCACTGAGTATGTATTGAAGGTTTATTATCAATTGTGATGGAAGGGGAAGAACATCTCAGGGGGGTTCTGTCCCAAATATTCACTTGCCTCTGCCTAAGTGCTGGCATTGAAGGTATGTGCCGTTATGCCTGGCTAGTGAGCCAACTTTAAGAGAGTATGTAGCAGGATTTTTCTTTCGGGCCACCAACCAGCTCCCACATGAAGATATGGAGACTTCCTGTTAGTTATGAATGCTTGGCCTTATCCTTGCTTTTATTTCTTGCTAGCTCTTATAACTTAACCTGTTTTTCTTCATCTGTTTTGCCTCAGGGCTTTTTACCTTTCTTCCCTTCTGTATATCTTACTTTCACTGCTTCTCATGTCTGGCTGGTGGCTGCCTGGCTTCTGACCCTGGGCGTGTCCCTCTCTTTCTCCCTCATTCTTTCCTCCTTCTCTCTCCTCTAGCCTAGATTTCTTCTCCTACTTATTCTCTCTTCCCGCCAGCCCTGCCTGTCCCTCTACTGTCTAGCTACTGGCCATTCAGCTTTTTATTAGACCGATCAGGTACCTTACGCAGGCCATGTGAAACAGCAACGCATCTTTTCATAATTAAACAAATGCAGCAAAAGCAAACGCAACACATCTTTACATCGTTAACAAATGCAGCATAAACAAATGTAGCACATCTTTACATAGTTGAAATAATATATTAGGAGGTGCAGAGGTCACACCTCCACAAGAGTATATGACAGAAAGATATCTGATGAATACTGGCAGTAGGAAAGAATTTGAGGGGATTCTCGTATTTGCCTTTGAGGCTAAGTGCTTTACCTTATCCCTTTATCTGAATAGGCAGATTCTACCATCCTCAATCTGAGGCTTCAGGTATGGTCACTCTTCCCCAGCACAAGGCCCCAATTGTGTCCTGGCTCTACCCACTCCACCTGCTTCTGTCCACAGTACTCCCAAAGACCTCCATCACACCTCATTTTACTAGAACCAAAGTTGCTCAGAGGAGCACATCTTTTTCAAGGGGTGCAACTACAAAGTCCTGAGCACTGGTTCCATGAACACAATCATGCACCCACAAAGCCTGGCAGGCAGTCTCTTACCCACAGATCACTTAAGGTATCTGCTCAATAATTGGAGTGAATAGGGCTGTCTTCCGATAGAACCTATGGTAAATACTGACTTTCTAGCCCAGGTCCACTTGCTGCTCTGCCGTCTGGACATTTCCAGTGTGAGGACCACTCTCCATCCCACCCATCCCACTCAGCCCTTCTGATCTGGCCAACAACTCCAACTTGCCTTGTTCACTAAGCATTTAAGGGTCTTCAGTTACTCATCATTATTTCACACAGCCCCTTCACCTGCAGAATAACATTGTACCTTGTAAGGTTTATACCACGAAGTGACAGTCTTCTCTCACTGGAACGTAAGAGGTTGGTCTTCCCAGTGCCCACTTCTGCCAGGTGAGCTCCTGAGATGAGCCTCACAGCAAAAGCCACCAAAGCCAAATGATCACAAGGACAAAAAGGCCCCTTCAGTGGAGCCAGTCTTGACAATGGCCTGCAAGCCCCTGAACTGCTTGCCTGGCATGCATCCCTAGTCCTACCCAGAGGTCTATCGTCTACATAACTTCTCCCCTTTATATGCTCACCAAAGACTTGTAGTTCGTAGACTATTGTCTCCTGCCTGCCCACTCAAAGCCGTGCTTTATGACAGTAAGAAATCATAGGCATTTGCTTCCCACTCTTTTATCCTAAAAAACCCACCAAATAAATGGGTGTGGATTTTCCTCCAAAGGAGTGCTTTATTGACAAGTTGCCTGCTAGTCTTTGTAGGAAGATACACCAGTGACCTGCACTCCTGCAGCCTGCCTCCTCACAGGCCTATTGTTTTTAACCCTGGAAAAGAAGATACAAAGTAGTGGCCTTCCTCAGCTCCTCAGTTCCTTGCTGTTCCCTGCCTTATGTGGTACGGTATTCTAAGGGAGTTCAAAGAAACCAGGGGTACTTGATAATAAAAGGAAACATCATACTATCAAACCAGAGACGAAGATGGACAGACCCTACCTCACCCCCGGAGTGCAGAGATGTGCACAGAACAGACAAGGATCTTTGTTCTGCTGGGGAGCCACTAAAGGTACAGTGCCGTTCCTCCCTCCATGCCTCCCAAAACACAGGGCCCTGGTGTAAGAGGCTGCAGAATGTGGCAATTAGAGGCGGGAGGAGGCAACTTTGAAAAAAAAAATCTTTGTAGCTCCTGAGAAAAGATGACAGCAGAGTTTTGGCTGAACCAAAACCACATCCCCTACCTGACCTGCAGGGGTGGTTCTGCTTTTCATTTATTCTTCGCGTAATAGAGAGGCAGGCAGGAACAATGGACTGGAGCTCTGCCCAGGGTCAGTAAAGCAATGCTGTGCAGGCCACGTCCCATTCAGGTGCTAGAGATAGAGGCTTTTCTCCTCTCAGCCCTTCTGACCCACAGCACAATAGCCCTGTGGGCCAGAGTGGAAGAGCTTTCCACTTTATAACTAGTCTGGAAAGAACAGAATGATAGATGCCCAGATTACAGGCCCAAGGCCAAAGCCAGCCACCATGCTTTTTTACTAATGAGATTCTGTTAGAAAATAACCGCACTCACCTGTTCACATGTGATTCTGTTCTGCTTTGGTGTTGGATATTGATCTCAGGACCTTGCATATGCTAGGCCAGTGTTATAGCACTGGTCTACATCACCATATCTCCTTAAAAAAAAAAAACAAAAAAAGATGGAGACATGGTATCAGCGTTTCCCAGGCAGGCCTTGAACTCTCCATCTTGTCTCCCAGACACTAAGTTTAGACACATGTGCTACCACACTCAGTTATTTTTTTCCTTCTGTATTTTCAATGGATGCTTTGGTACTGCATACTGCATTGTTGGTTGGTTTCCATGGAGATCAGTCATAGTCATTAAACCTGATAGTGCATACATACTGTGTTGCAATTTTCAGAAAAAAAAAATTACTGGCCCTGAGTTAAATGGTGAATTGAAAGTCACTAATCAAGAAAGAGAATGTTACTCTAGAACAGTATTCTTACACTGTGACTCAGATCAATATATAGGATCCACCATTCCAATAAATGCTTTGTATCCATAGTGTATGCATATATGTTGCTACCAAGAGGGCACCTTGCTATCAAAACATTCTCAAGGGGGTTTTGTGACTCTAAATTTATTAAGAACTAATTTGCCGTAAGATGAATATTAGTTTTTTTTTTTTTTTTTTTTTTTGTTTTTTTTTTGGTTTTTTCGAAACAGGGTTTCTCTGTGTAGCTTTGCGCCTTTCCTGGAACTCGCTTTGGAGACCAGGCTGGCCTCGAACTCACAGAGATCCGCCTGGCTCTGCCTCCCGAGTGCTGGGATTAAAGGCGGAATATTAGTTTTTGAAGTGTATGGAGTTTTTGAAGTGTATGGAGAATACATAAAATTGACCCAAAGAATTGTGGAAAGACTGGGAAAACTCTATGAGAATTTAGTATGTTTCATTTCCCTTTAGTTGGGGGCAGAGCACATGTGTCACAGTGTGTATGTGGATGTCAGCAGACTACACTGTGGAACTGCTTCTCTCCTTCCACCTTCATGGGTTCAGGGAACTCACCAGCTCAGGTTGTCGGGCCTCGACAGCTAATGCTCTCACCAGCCCAACCAGCCCAGCCAGCCCCCAAGGAGTATTTTTGTATGAAAGCTTGTTGTTATAAGTCTCCAGTTATCCTAAGTCATATTTTTTACTATCACATAGTATTCATAATCCCTTGTTTTCATGGCTTTGCCTGGTGGGTAATGATTCTGCATTTCACAGCTGAACTACCTAAAGCTCATTAAGTATCAATAACTCATCCTAAGCAATGTAGCTCATAGGAAAGTAACACTGAGTCCTAGGACAGGGCCCCCAGCCAAAGATAACTACATTTTCAGAAGTAGTCTGTAATATCTAGTTGGAAAACATGATGCCATTTTTAAATTGAGAAAAATCTTACAGGTACCCTCAAGTTTGCGATCCACTGCCCCCTGGAACATGATACAGGTCTTTTCTCTGGAACCTCATCCCTCCCATAGGGCAGAGGCTATGGCTCTGATCCTCATGGAACTCACTCATCTTCCTAAATCTGAGGAAAAGTTTACCCTTACCTATAGCTTTTTTCAGAGCTGCATCCCTTTGTCCATGTCTACCCCCATGTTGTCCTTAATACTCGAGTTGAGTTTAGCAGTAGACTCAGACTTTTGTAAAAACAGAAAAAGGAACTGTCTTAAAGTTGATTCTGTTAACACCCTAGTCACCTAAAACAATACAACACACATACACGCACACACACAATAAATACAAAATGAGTAGAAGAAAACTGTCATAATTTGCTTCAGCTGTCAACTTGACACAAACCTAGTCACCTAAGAGGGAACCTCGGCTGAAGAATGATCTAGATCAGATTGCTCTGTGACCACATTTGTGAGGCATGTTCTTAACTGTTAATTGGTGTAGGAGGGTCCAGCTCATTGTGGATTTAGATGGTATAAGACAGGTAGTGAGGAAGGCAGAGGAAGCAAGCCAATAAGCAGTGTTCCTCTGTGGCCTTTGCTTCATTTCCTGCCTCTAGGTTCCTGCCTTGAGTTCTTGCCTTGGCTTCTCTAAATGATGGACTCTAGCCAGTAAGCCAAATAAACCCTTCTCTCTCCAAGTTGCTTTTGTTGAGTGTCTTATCACTAACAAAAATCAAATTAGACTAAAAACTGAACCATAAATTAATTTCTAAATACAAATATGCTATAACAGTCTTGAAGTAAGAAGCCATTCCGTTCTTGGAGGAGGCAAGTGACAGCTCAAAGTACTAGTTTCTAAAATGAGAGTAGCCATGTAGAGTGTGATGGTCCATGCTTGTAGCCCCAGCTACTGAGGCTGAGATTAGAGGATCATTTGACCTCAGCAATTCCAGGCTGACCTAGGCAACATGATAAGACTTTTTTAAAATGAGGGGATTAGGAAAAGGAAAGTGAGGAGAAAGAGAAGGAAGGGGAGGAGGAGGAAACCCCGTGTCTGTAGCACACTTAGAATCAAGTTGGCCATCTCAACAAAATAAATGTAAATTACTTCATGAGGGGAAGAGGCTAGTATTTCCAGTGACCCTGCCAATGAAGACAGACAGTCTGATAGAAATGGAAATGGGTCAAAGACCAGGCCAGCCCAACGTACAAAATGTCTCAGAAAAAGACAGAAAATACCCAGGCTTATAGCTGTAAGTGATTTTATTATGCTCCAGGAACTGTGAAGGAAAAGCAGCTAGTGATGGAATAGAGAAGCACACTTTGTACACATTCCAACAGCCTCTTTTTAATCTTCAAATTATTCATTCATTATATATGATGGGCACTCAAACCGTGATGAATAAAGTTCATTCTGGTCTCTCAAAAATAACTGCAAATACATTAATGGCTAGTATTGACCTTAAATCAGAAATTGTAAGTAGAATAGAATGTAATGCCAGTCTCCTACTTTTTCACACAACTAGATGAAAACATGACATTTTTAGGTCTTCTGCTATAAAACTGCTAGTGTACTACTCTTTGAAAACCAGTAACTAGTTTATTTCCTTATGATAGTAAGATTCTGGTGCGAGGTCTCAATGGTTTCCCTGGGAAGGGATACTACTCTCTCGGATGTGCATATTATTTACATGACACTCAATCTATCATTCTGGATCAAACCACTTCTGGTCTTTTCCTTTCACTATCCATGTAGAATGTGAGTTCCTGGCAATGGCGTTTGTGCCTCGAGACATAGACCTTTTTAAAATCACACAAACTGCCGCTAGCTGAATACCAGTTGTCCTCTTTTAGGTGATGGCATTTGCATCGTTGTCCTCTTCATCGTGCAGCGTCCCAAAGCCAATGTATTCATCAAGTTACCAGCAGCATTAACAGTGATGGTCACTCATTTTTTCCTGCTGCATCTGTAAAGTGTTTCTTGTCATTTTCAATGACTACATTATTAAAATAAACATGTCTTCCTGTGAGTGTTGACTTGTAGCCACGTCCACGTTAATGACAGAGATGTTGTCACTCTCTCTGGCCAACTCATCATCATAGGAAGGAAGGTGTACTTAGGTTGGACTGCCTACTAATCCTATTATGCTAGTCATCAAAGTCCAATTCTAGATTATATTAAATGAAGGTAGCAATTTACAGCTAATCTAAAATATCTTTTTAAATATTTGACTTAACTTCTCTCTATAATCTCCCGTGAACAGTATAATAACAGGAGAAATCCCATAAATACATACATTCATGCAGCTGGAATTTACTAAGAATGCAGCAAGTACAAAGTGTTCTGCAAATAAAAGTCATCAGAATTTTCATTGTTGTGACCAAATGCCAAATAAACAACCTAAGGGTGGAAGATTTATTTCGGCTCACAGTTTCAGAAGTGTTAGTCTCTCATGATTTGGAAAGTGTGATAGAGCAGGAAAGTTCACATGGTAGCAGCCAGGAAATCCAGCCAAGCAGTAATTGGAGGGCACTAAAGCAGGATGTAGCCCCCAAGGACATGCTCCGAGTGACCTACTTCCTCCAACCAGCCTTCACCTTCTATAATTCTACTGCCTCCCATAGTCTATTCAAATTTTAATCCACTCATGGTCAAGCCATTCAGTAGGACAGAGCTCTTATGATTTTAATTATCTTTGGGAATGCTCTCAGAGGCGCATTTAGGGGTATGCTTTCCTAACCTCCTAGGTGTTTCTCAGTTCTATGGAGTTGATAAGACTATCACAAGTCCTGGATCTACAAAGTAAGTGGTCTGTGCATAAAAAATTGAGTGTTTTAAGTTATCGAAATACATTGTCTTTTCTGGGTCAGCTGGTTTAGAGCCAGTGGACTTTTCTTCAGTTGTCTGTCCACCCACTCTCCACTGTTTGTCTTTCTGGTCCCCCCACCTCTGGGAGCTGACACTGGGGTAACAGCAGAAACTAGAAGCAGAAAGAAGGAATAGGCTCACTGCTCCTTGCCCTGCTTCAGTGAACGTGTTTCTGGTGTACTGCAAGACTTAACTATGGCTCTCAGCCACCCTTCCCTTCCTCAACCTTACACTCACCGTTGCTTACCCGCCTCCTGCTAGTCTTTTAGCATCTTGTCACCCTGACTCCTACACTTCCACCTTCTTCCATGTGAAGATGCAGCAAGAGATGACATCCTGGGAACACAGGAAACCTCACCAAACACCCAATACTCTGTCATCGATCTTGCACTTCTTACCTTCCCAAACTGTGAGAAAATAAATTTCTTCATAAGTCATCCAGGCTCTCTGCTTGGCTATAGCAGGAATAATGAGGTAAGGCAAACCACCTGACTGGAGCCTTGATATGAATAGATACGAACTGTTTGAAAGTTAGCTCTTTTACAACAATATATTAGACTATGGGTATTGATGGGGGAAACTGTAATAAAGATTTTAATGTACAAGGTAAGCAGTTAAGGGCTAAACAGCCCCTTGGTTAATGTTTCTCTTCACTGTCTCCTGTAGTTACACTTCCTGAGCTAGGTCAAGTTGTTTTTCCTATTCAGTTTGGAACTCGGGAGGCTTAAACATAAATATTCTTCACTTGTTTTATGTTGCTAATATTATTTAAAAAGAAATAAAGTTGAATAACTCAGCAAGCATGAAACATAGGCCACAAAGTAAAATAGTCATCTTGATTCAAAGTATTATACCTGTTGTGGTGGTTTGAATGGGAATGGCCTCCATAGGTTCATACATTGGAATGGTTGGTCATTAAGAAGTGGTATTACTTGAGAGGTTAGTAGTTGTGATCTTGTTGGAAGAAGTTTGTCACGGGGCATGGGCTTTGAGGTTTCAAAAGTCCAAGCCAGGCCTGGGTCGGTCTTTCTTCCTGATGCCTGTGGATCTGGATACACAGTTCTCAGCTCCTTCTCCAGCACCATGTCGACCTGCATGCTGTCACCTTTCCTGCCATGATAACAATGGACTAAACCTCTGAAACTGTAAGCAAGCCCCAATTAGATGCTTTCTTTTATAAGAGTTGCCATGGTTGTGGTGTCTCTTCACAGCAATAGAACACTGACTAAGACACATGGGAATAGGCAAAATTCTCAAATTCACTAATGAGTAAACAGAATTAAATAGATACTCAAATCAGACATCTCATTTATTTGTATAAACAATCTAAAATATTCTCATTTCAAATCAAATATAATTTTCTTTCAACTTTGCTGCTATCTATAGCTAACCAATCAAGAACCAATGTTAATGGTTAAAACCACACCCAATAGCAGATTATGTATCGACATCTACCATGTTCTTTTTTCTGTTAATGTTTGTTTCTATCACACACACACACACACACACACACACACACTTTAAAACTATTTAAAAGTAACAGTCAAAAGAAGAAGCACTTCTCCGATAATAAAGCTCTGTTAATACCCAAGAAAATAAAAATGGATCTTCAGAAATACCTTTTGTGTGAATTTGGCCCGACACTTCGTCACTCAGAACTGTAGTTTTCAGAGTTGTGTTTCTAAACACAGATTACAGGGCTCATCTGTCTTTTCTGTAAATAATGGGGCAGGGTCTGACTGTGTGGTTCTCCCATCATTGTGTGCCTGGCATTTAGCCCCAGGCCCTCAATGATCACTAGCTGAATGAAGGGATCAGAACCAGAGAAACAGCCTATGAACTTTGTTTTCAGCAGTCCCCTAGATGCTTCTGGTGACCAGCTAATTCCAGAAACCTAGGCTGGTCTTAACACTTGAAATGTGGGAGAGATTTAAGCTATCATCTCGCTCTCTTTCCTTGTCTGGCAACCAAAGGCCATGAAGTCCGGGAAATTAAATAACTTGTCACATACGATCATATTTTCATACTTAGCAGCACATTTGGGGATTAATGATGACAATGAGAAAATGAGACTAAAAGATGAGTTTTTACCAAAAAAGGCAAACTATTTTACTACTTGGCCTGAGGGACTGAGAAAGGCCAGCCCCGTGAAGGGACAATCAGAGCTGGGTTCACAGCAGGGCCTGCGCACTTCAGACCTGGCTCAGGACCCCGTCACAGGGACTGAAGGGACCTCCCACTCTGTGCTCCTTCTCTTCCCCCGACTTCCATCCAGTTGTGCCTAAGAAGAAATGGGGCTTTCTTGTACTGAGTATCTACACTGCCCTCTTCATCCATATCGCCTCTCCTCTGAGCAGCATAAGTCAGGCAAAATTCACTGAAGCTATTTTTTCCTCCAGAAATCTGTCAACAATTTGAAATTCACTTGCTAACATGATATTTTGTACAAATACACCAAAAATGTTTCATACCCCAGCCTCTTACTTCTGCCTGCATATTAACATGATTCGAAAATATTTGTGGCTAGATATTCATCAGAAAGTAAACATTTATTCACCTAGCTGTTATTTCCAGAATTGTTTCACTATGTTTAAATGGAATTTGCTTCAACCCACAATAATTCTTATATCTTTTCAAAGGACCTCTGTAGTAATCTCTTCAAGAGTATGATGGCATCGGTTTCAAAGATACTGATAAAGCAAAATTTAGTATCTGTTGGGAAATAATCCTCATTTAAAAAATATACTGTCTCAAAGACTATTAATAATAATAATAATAAGCAATAGTGAAGAACTTACTGTTTGGCAATCATTATGCATTTAATACTACATTTGTCTGAACAATACTTGCTAGTTGGGCAAGTATGCATGAATATGCAGAGGTACATATGTACATCTGTAAGTATGTGCCCTCTTAACAATTCTGAGCAGATAGTAAGGAATAGTTACGATTGAGGCAACAATTGGTGTCTGCATAACCAATGACTATTGACTTTTCTTGCTGGACCTCTGGGAAGGTGAAGGATGTTTGTGTTGATTGTATCCCATTTCCCTTTCCTTCCTGCTTAGAAATCTTTCACTTGAAAATTTCCCGTCTATAGCTATGTGGCCACTCTCTGGCAATGAAACGGACTCGTGGACACACTTTGAGTGGAGGCTGAGTCCTTGTTTGTCACCAAACCTGAATTTCGTGTACACTAACTCATACAAGACAGAGTACACAACTGGTATATTTACTTCTAGGGAGTGGGACCCAGGGTGCACAGGGAAGAATATAATTAACTTCCCTTTGTGCCATTTTCATTGTTTACTTTAAATTGTGTGGTGTGTGTGTGTGTGTGTGTGTGTGTGTGTGTGTGTGTGTGCACGCATGTATGTGTGTGCACATGTGTGCTTACAGAGGCCAGAGGCATCAGATCCCCCTGGAACTGGAGTTACAGACAATTGTGAGTTACTCAACATGGGTGCTAGACACGGAACTCCAGTTCTCTGCAAGAACAGCAAGTGCTCCTAAGCACTGAGCCATCGCTGCAGCCTCTATTTTAATTTTTTATACTGTATATAAACAACACTTTTAAAATGACAAAGCAGGGCTAGAGAGATGACTCGGTGGTTAAGAGCATTGGATGCTTTTCCAGAGGACTGAGGCTCAGTTTCCATCATCCACACAGAATCTTACAACCATTTACAACTCCAGTTCTGGGGGAATCCAGTGCCTGAATCTGGCCTCTGAGGGCAGCATGCGTGCATATGGTGCACAGACATACATGCAGGCAAAACATGCATACACATACAATAAATAGTAAAGTAAAGCAAAGTAAAATGGCACAGCAAATAATTAAAAATTTTTACAAATAGAATTTCTGAATAACTGGCATATTAACCAAAGAAAACACAAGGGACATCATATTCAAATAACTTCCTAAACACATAGCCCATGGCTTATAGCTATTTTTATGTCAATAGCCACATGTTCTATCATTTAGACTGTCTGGGCAGTTTGTTTTTTTAGGACAGGGTTGCTCACTATATAGCCCAACTGGCTGCCAACTCATGATGCTTCTGCCCTCAGCCTCCCAAGTTGGACTACAGGCAGCTGCTACTTTTGAGTTTTACTATTGGATTTCTTTTTCTCCAAGTGAACTGTTCATGGGTATTTTTATCTCTCAAACATTGTAAATGCCAGATTCCTTTCACTACTAAGTTTGTAGGTGGGGAGTTTTAGTGTCCCTTGTGACTTTCAGTGATCTCTTTGTGTCCCTGAGTTTCTGTCTAAAGTAGCGATGAGAGGGAAGAGTTGGCTCCACCGACTAAGACCATGAGTCAGTAGCTATCTCTACATGGTAGAGTCATTGACTGGAATGAGAAGATGGACTGAAGAGCCGCGGAACCTGAGCCAGGAAAGGCTCTCTGTCTTTGTGTAGGAGCCATCCTGCTAACACCAGTGAACAGTTATGGACCCACAAGAAGGGTTCTAAACCTCATTCAGAGCATGCTTGTCCAGCATCCTCGGGATGAGTTATCCTAAGAGATCTGTTTGCTTCTCATTTCCCCGAGAGCTCTCCTGTCTTGGGCATCGTGATTCCCCGAGATGGGTTTTAGGAATGGAACAAAAGTTGGCATCTGTCACCACAGCATGGGAAAAGGGCACCCTCAAAGAGCAGGTGTCCTGGTTCTGACTAGAAGTGATGACAAAGAGAAGCACTGGGATTAACAGCATATCTGAAGGGCACTCCTAACACACTCTCCATTGAGAACATTTCCAAGTAGGAAATGAATGAGAAACATAGTACTTACTTATGGTGCCACCCCAACACCCCTCACTAAAAACAGTGTCTTTCTCAGAGTTCGATGCTCTTTGTTACTATGACATTTTCCAGGTCTTCACTCATCTAATTCCTTTGCACATACCACCACAGATGTCTTCATTAAAGGGACTTTGTCATTATTCCCTACCTAAGATTTGTTGGAACAAACATTTGAACAAAATAGAGGATTTCAAAAACCAATGACCTGAGTTTGGCAAAATGGTTCAGTGGGTAAAAGTGCCTGCTATGTGGGCCCAGTGACCCGAGTTCAATCCTTGGCACCCATGTAAAAGTGGGAAGCTAGAACCAGCTACCAAAGTTCTTCTCTGACCTTTACACACATAAAACCACAGCTTGTGTGCTGGAACACATACATCCCGCACATACACATACTCAATAGTTACAAAAATATTCTACATCAATCATCTGATCTAGGGCTTTAGCTCAGTTGGCAGAGTGCTTGCCTAGCATTCATGATTCCTTAAGTTAATTTTCCAGTACTGGAGGCAGTATGGTGGCGCATGCTCATCCTCCCAGCATTCTGGAGGTAGAGGTAGGCCAATCAGAAGTTCAAGGTCACCCTTGAACCAATGCAGCAAGCAAGCAAGCCTGACGTCAACCTGGACTGGGTTATGTGAAACCCTAACTAAAAAAAAGTCATAGTTTGAGGACAAATAAAGGAATTCTTGTTTTTCCTGAGTTCCTTTGCCTATATTTTTTGTCCCATTTGTGCATATAAACATTTAGGGATATACATTAAATAACCATAGTAAGCTTACTGAGATACCTAACTAAATAGCCTCTCTACTATAAATCACAAATGTGAAAATGTTGCTGGAGAATTTCTCTCCAGCTCCCACCAAGTCCCGCCAGTCCCAGAGCCCACTTATAAAATAAACACACAGACTCTTACATTATTTAAACTGCTTGGCCAATAGCTCAGGCCTATCATTGTCTAGCTCTTCCTCTTATATTTAGCCCATTTCTATTAATCTTTACTTTGCCATGTGGCTTGTGGCTTACCGGTACTTTACATCTTCCTTGTCCTGGCAGCGGCTCCAGCCAGTCTCCCCTTTCCTTCCTCCTTTCTCAATTCTCCTCTCTGTTAGTCTCACCTATACTTCCTGTCTGGCTATTGGCCAATCAGGGTTTATTTACATATAGCGATATCCACAGCATGAAAATCACAGCTTTATCAGCCTCAGAAATATTTCTTTTGTTAGTATTTAAGGAAAACATTTGTGCAAATACTCATATATCTTCTACATCAGTGTCTCATCTTTGGGTCTAGTTTTGCCCAACTAATGAAAGGTGTCTACCCCTTGTCTCTAAGGGAATTCCTTTTAAAACAAGTAACTGGAAGTCCTGGAGCTAGGCTCAGAGAAGGACCAGGAAGGACAATGCCAGCCTCTGGTCACGCCTGGAATGCTTTGAGCATGACTTTCCAGTCTTGATAGACTTAAGTCATCACATGTCAGTTCAGAGATGATCTGAGGCACAGATGCTCCTGGGCCTATTCTTAGTACTCACTATTTTTTCTTATGTGTACGCGTGTATGGTGTGTGTGCTGGTGTCTGTGTGGGGGTATGCACTGAGTATGGAGCCCAGTTAGTGTTGAGAGTCTTCCTCTGTCTCTCTCTACCTTGTTGACTGGGGCAGGCTCCCTCGGCTGAACTCAGAGCTCATAAATAAGGGGAC